AGTTACTGAAAGGAAAGCTGAAATCTCCAACTATCATTGTAGATTTGTTTATTTCTTCTTTCAGTTAGGCCAGTTTTGCTTAGTAGCTACTTAGTAGCTCTATTATTAGCTACATACACATCTAGAATTGTTATGTCTTCTTGATAGAGAAGATGATGATCTTCTTTTAATCATTATAATGATCCCTTTTAACACTTCTTGTCCTGTAGTTTATTTTGTCTGATATTATCACCACTCCAATATTTTAATGGTTGGTGCTCTTCCCCTGTGGTAGGAAACAGCTAAACTTTCTGTTCAGTTTTTTTGCCTTTCAGCTACTGTTTCCTGTCAAGCTCCTGGGAGTTTCTGTTCCATATATGTATTTAGGTTTGGCCAAGGATTTGGATGGTTATTTACATAGACACAAACTAGAGGGCTTCCTGATATCCATCCTAAAGCTAATAAGACCAAGTCTCTATGCTTGAAAACAGCCCCTTGCAAAGATATATTTAATGTAAATATCACCAAGTACAGTCTCATTCTTTTCAGGGTCTATTCCTTTCCAGTTTTTACATGGTGGGTATTTTCCACATCTATTAAATAATTATTTTAAGTATTTCTAACCCAGGTTAATAACTATTATCTAAAGAAGGATTAGCCTAACATGAGTTAGTCCCTTATTATCAGAAGCAGAAATTCTTGTAGAGATATATTCCACATTCAAAATGAACTGCAAAGAAATCTTAAATTTTGCTCAATAGATTACCATTACTATTTCCATTATAATTCTGAAACTGTACTGCAGGATAAAGCAAATAAAATATTATGATAATATTAGGAACCAAGATTTTAATATAAAAGAAAAAAGATAAATATAAAATCAAAGAAGTTCAACAAAATCCTTTTAATTTTAAATTTTAATTGGAAAGATCAACATGAACTCATGATTTAAAAAAAAATAAATTCCTAGCTCTAATAACAAAGAAAGGGCCAAGAAATAAATGACACTCATAACAATAAGCACCTTCACATTCTAGACCCTGGTGTCTAAATACTATTCCTTAAAAAAAAAAAAACAAAAAACGAACACCTCACGCCAGTCAGAGTGGCTAAAATGAGCAAATCAGAGGACTCTAGATGCTGGCGAGGATGTGGAGAAACGGGCACCCTCCTACACTGTTGGTGGGAATGTAAACTGGTATAGCCCCTCTGGAAAACAGTGTGGAGGTGCCTCAGGAAACTAACAATAGAACTCCCCTATGACCCAGCAATAGCACTGCTAGGAATTTACCCAAGGGATACAGAAATGCTGATGCATAGGAGCACATGTACCCCAATGTTCATAGCAGCACTCTCCACAATAGCTAAAACATGGAAAGAGCCTAAGTGTCCATCAACAGA